AATTATCTCAGATATATTTTTTATTAAATTTTTTTTCTCGGCGTACAGATTCCTGTAAATCGATTTTTTCACGGTTTAACCCCTGCGAGGGAAATCCCGGTAAAAGGGTAAAAGTGGTAAAATTCTTGTGTGACTGTATACCGAAAATTCTGATAGTGGTGCCCATCAGTACCGAAAATGTAGGTGAGAGCGCTAATGTTATTTAACCCTCGAAACGAGTGATGGGCTCTGCTAATATGATGTACTACCTGAATTTATATTTGGTTGTCGGTACTAAGTAGTACAAATAATGTCTACTTAATATTTAATTAACATATACATAAAGTTGCGACACAGCAACATATGTGTATTGAGTTAATTTGTCGAATCTCTATCGAAAAGGTTTCACTACTAGAATCATGATGGAGTGTCTTTGAACGTGGTAGTTTGAAGTTTTGACATTGCAAGAATAACAAAGTTCTTATTTATACCTGGTTTTTGTATTATTTAATATACCGTATGATCATTAATTCATTTTGGTGCTAAAATTGGAAAGAGTAGTGCTAAACTTCTAATCGCCCGGAATAATGTTTTTCCAAGGCCCATTCTCAGTCCTGGCAGTGGTTTTTCCAATTTTGAAGGGCTCACTGAATATATAAATTAAACAGTAGGGGTGACATACTGCATCCTTGTCTTAGTCTTTTTAGCCCAGTCTGGTTAAAAAAAAAGATGGAAAAATGTCTCGCAGATATCTGAAGCTTGTAAGACATAGGTGGGGGTTACTAGATGACGAATAGATGAAAAGATAGTCCTATTGTTTCCTTGCGTTTTTTTTTAAACAATAATTTATATTCACAATTTGATTTTTTGTCTTTTTTCCTTATAATTTTTTCCCTTGTAATTTAAATAAACAATATCCATATCATTTTTTAATTTTAAGAATATCTTCATTTTCCCGTTTTTTGAATTAAAATTGATAAATAATTTACGGAGATATTTGCAAAAAAGCAGTTTTTTTGCAATAATGTATAAATTTTATTAATTTTTTTATTAATAAAATAAAATGATATTAATACATTAAAACATCGAGGAATTACCGTCCTTTAAATTTTTGCGAAATTGCCCCCTGATCGGTCAAACAGTTTAAAAGTTATTTAATTTGTTTATCCCTGAGACTAATTATTTATACTATTGAGCTTGCCCTACGAATAACGCTAGACACATTTAGCAAATTTCATAGGATTATTTAAGACATAAACTATCTCAGAAGTTAAATGCACATTGCGTTTTCTTCAAAATTATTTACAAAATAAACGTTTGAAAAAGGGGTATGTTTTTTACTTATAAACAATTGTAATAACTTTTATATTTTTAAAGCTACAGACTTGTACGTACAACCATTGGATAGCTGGTAAAAAAAGTCACATTAAAAATTCAAAAACCTTCTATGACCAATACGAACGAAGTTAGCGACTCATCATCATCATTAGCCATTTTGCGTCCACTGCTGAACATAGGCCTCCCGTAAATAATTCCATTGCATCCGATCTTGAGCAACTTGAATCCAGTTAGACTGGATGCGCTTTAAATCGTCCGACCACCTTGTTGGAGGACGTCCTCGACTACGATAAGCATCGTGTCTAGGCCTCCACTCTAAAATTTTCTTTGTCCATCTTCCATCTCTGACCCTAGCAATATGTCCTGCCCAGTTCCATTTCAGGGTTGTAATTCTTTCAGCTGCGTCCGTCACACCAGTTTTTCTCCTTACTATCTGACTCGAAACTCTGTCCCTGAGTGATACGCCCAACATTGACCTCTCCATCGCTCTCTGTGCCACTTGTATCTTATTAATTACTTTTCTGGTAAGTGTCAATGTTTCTGCTCCATATGTCAGCACTGGAAGTACACACTGATCAAAAACTTTTCTCTTCAAGCACATGGGGATAGTTGATTTAAAGACTTCCCTCAGTTTTCCGTAAGCTGCCCATGCCAGTCCTATTCTCCTTTTTAACTCTGTTGTTTGATTGTCTCTTCCCAATTTAATCTCGTGGCCCAGATACTTATAGGAATACACTTGTTCAATTGCGTGCCATTAGTGGAAATGTATTTTGGCCGGTACCAGGTTGGTCATGTATGTGTTTTGGAAAAATTAATTTTAAGGCCAACTCGTGCACAAGAGCTCTGAAGGTCTTGAAGAAGTTGGCATGCATGATCTACCTGATCTGCAATAAGGACTATGTCGTCTGCAAACCTCAAGTTGTTCAAAAATTCCCCATTTATATTTAATCCAATATTTTCCCAATTATTTTTTCTCATACCACTCTGTAATAGGGCGGTGAATAGTTTAGGAGAGATATGTGTCTCCTTGCCTAATACCTTTCTCCAAGGGAAATGTGTCTGTGTCACCATAGTACATTTTTACAGCAGCTGTTGCGCTATCATATATATTTCGAAGAAGAGTTGTGTACCTATGGTCAATACTGCACTCTGTAAGAGCTCTTAACATGGAGCTATGCTGGACTGAGTCAAATGCTTTCTCAAAGTCTACAAATATTAATATGAATGGCTTGTTGTATTCTATAACTTTCTCTATCAAGGATTTTATTACTTGTAGGTGGTCATTTGTTCCAAAGCCACTCCT